TATCTACACACATCATCTTTTACTGGCAATTAAGAGCAAAGCTGTCAGTGAATATGTGCACAGGCATGCTCATGGGGATAGGGTTAGGTGACTTGTAAGGCATCCATCAGGATATGTCACCCATATGTTGTGCAATTAAGCCTCTAATCATAGGCAGCAGGTTGTGCGGTATCCTGAGGAATGTCCTTATGATCCTTCCATCGTTAATCACCCTTCAATATTTCAGAGAGTATGTAGCTTGCTAAGTTGCCATGAAATGCATCCTCTAGGACAGTATTGAACATAGAAACATAGAAGATAGGAGCAGGAGGAGGCCATTCGGCCCTTCAAGCCTGCTCCAATATTCTTCTTGATCATGGCTGATCGTCCAACTCAATAGCCTAATCCAGCTTTCCCCCATTACCTTTGATCCCATTTGCCCCAAGTGCTATATCTAGTTGCCTCTTGAATACATTCAATGTTTTGGCATCAACTACTTCCTGTGGTAATGAATTCCACAGGCTCACCACTCTTTGGTTGAAGAAATGTCTCCTCATCTCTGTCCTAAATTGCTTGCAAGAGGTGATACTTTGTGCTGCAATTGTCAGCAAACCAATGTACTATGAGAGGAAATGGGCATGTGAACTGCTCATTATACATCTCCCACCCTTGAATGGCAGTGCTCTCCTTGAAAAGTTGATAAACATGAACCTTTCCCTGCAGAAATGTGTGGAATCATGGTTGATTCTGTACTCACTCAAGGTGCACCTAAGTGTGGAATGATATGTGCAGGCTAGACCCAAGCACATTTTCTGCATGTTGTGTTTAGTCTTGGTGATCTCCATGCTAAACAGCTATGTAGTCATCAATATCAAGGATGCCTGATGTTTGAGGATATCTGCAGTCATGGGGTGCACTGTTATAAGAGTCTAAGTGACTCCAGCTACAGCGAGATTTGTGGCAGCATCAGGTGAGAAGTCAAGCAAAGTTGATCTCAGCAACAGAAGCAGCTCGGTGCATCTTTTGTTCTTTTGCTGAGCAGTGAGAACGAAGAAGTTTTTTTAGCTTTGTTAAATGCCTTATTAATGGCCCAACCCCCCTCATTTTGCTTTCTATCTTACCAGACATGTCAAACAAGCAAGATGCCGAGAAATCTCAATTATGGAAGTTAGAGTAGGTACCTGGTGACATCCGTTTCCTACTGGCTGCAAATAGCTTCTATGTTGCTCAGTTCCATTTAGCATCTTGGAGCATGATCCATGTGCTCCAGCTGCATGTCCCCTTCATTCATAGACATTGGCATCTGGCAGTTGCCAGCTGCTCATGATCAGAGTGGTTCGTGGTGATGCAGGAAAGACATGAAGTGTCCTGAGTGAGTAGAAAGTATACAGGACAGAGGGTTATTAGTTGTAGAGGATGCAGTAATCAGAGTTGCAGTCCATGAGCCTCGTGATATGTATGAGCACAGTGGTAGAGTCTGTTTAAGCGCTGGATCCCTGAGTTGGAAAAGTGAGCTGGTAAAAAGGACTCCTATCCCAGAAAGAGTGGTACAGTGGCTCAATGGTTAGCACTGCTGCCTCACAGTGCCAGGGACCCAGGTTCAATTCCAGCCCTGGCAGCTGTCTGTGTGGGGTTTGCACAATCTCCCTGTGTTTACACAGGTTTCCTCTGGGTGCTCTGGTTTCCTCTTACAGTCTAAAGAAGGGTGGATTGGCCATGATAATATTGGCCAGAAGAAAACAAAACTAGCAGAGAAATAGCTAATGCTTCTGCCTCTCTGGCTGCACCATTCCTAAAGAAAGGACCCCAAGAGCCAAGTAGCACAACTAAAAAGGTGAAAAGCAGAAGATTAGCTCAGAAAACTCATTCTGAGCCAAAAAAAACCAATTTCACTTTCAATCAGCCCTCTGTATAAGGATGGATGACTGAAGTATCTCACAATGTAAACTCACATTATTGAGCTAAGGAATCTCAAGGCAAACTAATCTTAACAAATTGCAGGTTAAGATTGAAATCCTCAACATTATCAGTTTTTCTTTCTCCTTGTGTCAGTAAACAGCTTATTTGAATGATTGTTTGTTTAAAATCAAATTATTGGCAGATTGTAGTAATTAGTAGGCAAAATGAATTAATATGTTGTACAAAACAGGCCAGAGAATCAATCGTATATGTTGCTGCAGCATAAATCAGAGTTGAGTCTGTTTTTACTATCCCTGTGCAGATGATGACAGATTGGGTGCAGTAAAGTGTGACTGACACAGATGAACCTGGTGGCGTAATTATCATAAGAATGTTGTAATTCTGTCATCTCAGACAATATTTTTAACACAGTCTCTTGTGATACATAAAATTATTCTGTACTTTCTTGACTTATGTGGTGTGATATGTAGTTATTTTTCTGTTTCCACGTGCATGCACTTAACAATTATTTCACTATGGCTAACTCCCTCAGCAAAGTAGCAGATTGATGGCAGTGTTTTGTGTTTTGGTTCATAACCTCAAGATGTTTTCTAATCAACCTGTTCAGACATTTCATGTCGCATTGGAGAAGGTGGGACTTGAACCGGGGCTTCCTGGCCCAGAGGTAGGGATATTATCACTGTGCCATAGGGGCCCCTTTATGACCCCAATTGCAGGGTCAAATCGGGTTCAGTCACTTAGCAGTGATTTTCCTTGAATTGTCTAATTAAAGGAAATGCTCAGTATCGAATGAAGGATTTTGGGTGAACCCTTGAAGCAGGAGGGCACTGTGGTGCAGTGGTGGTATCCCTAACTCTAGGCTAGAAGGTCTGGGTTCACATCCCAACTACCCCAGATGTTGTAACATATCTGAACACACAGATTAAAAGATATCTAGAAGGCCCTCTAATATGGAAGGAACTGCAACCAGCCATTACAGTTAAGAAATAATGAGCTCGCTTAGATCTTGAGATACTTCCCCAGCAACTTTAACAAAATTGAAATACAAAATTGGCCACAGTTGCCAGCCACCATTTGAGGAGGCAGAATATTGTGGCCTGTAGCTGCACCTGTGATCAGGTAGATGGAGTGGGCCTTAAATCCAGCCTAGAGTAATAGGAGGCTGATGCCAAACATGTGGCCTTCAGAGTCTGACTGCAAAATTTCAGTTAGGCTTTGATAATTGGGCATAGTTAAACATTTTTGTTTTCTTTTATTGGGTATCTGCTGATAGCCCTTCTAATGAGTATCCAAGTCTTGGAAATGGCGACGGATCTATCTGCAAAGGTGGCAGTGCAGGGGCTGGATGATGTTGACAAATTGATATGGTAGTTGATGGTGTGAAATTAAGTGGCTGCGCAACTCCCATTTTACCTTCATTTCTGCTGAAAATTCAGTCGTATCAGTTCGCACTTTAGTGGGTTTCTTTGACATTGAATGCAGCCAATGGAAGAAAGAATACTGAATCTTTATCATCTGTACTGATTTAATTGAACAGCACTTTGAGTACTTTTAGTAGGAAGATTCAGGTGACTTATGTTAGTTATAACTGCCACAACACCCTCCGCGTTCTAATAATTTTGTTCAATTGTTTTTATTGTCATTTTAAATGTGTCTCATTGGAACAAGACAACCTGCACTGGTGACCTTTTCATAATGATTTACCACAAATTCTTTTGAAGCTTGTTACATTATAGTTGTATGACTGAGCATTCAAAGGGTTGACTGTTTTAGCGTCTAAATGAATAAAGTTGTTGTAGTTGAATCTAAACACATTACTGATAGCTTATACTGCATTGTATGTTTACCATTTACTGCATTTTATATCACTGTCATCTTTAGTTTGTGCTAAGTTATATTCTCCAAGGTTGTAACAATACTAAATTTCCTACTGACAAACAGATGATGAAAAACATTATTATTCATCATGCTGTGATAAAAATGCTAATCATATGTGGAAATCATTCAAAATCACTTTAGAAATTTGGAACGTTGTAAATAGTTCATGAGGTGAAATTGATGTGGATTGAAAGTCACCAAAGTAAGTTTACTGCTATGATGGGTCTGATTTACTTGAACATTAATTGTGGGAGATGGCAGCAGCTGATATTATTAATACCAATCAAACCCAGTGGTAGAGTAGAATTAATCAATCTCCCACTAGCTAGTGGAATGATTGACAGCTCAAACGATGGCTGCACAGATAACTATCAAATATTTCACAGCATTTTGTGTTTTAGACCAGTGCAGTCAATACATTGAATTATATAAGTAGCAATCTACTGAGAATATTAAGTTCTGCTTTCTTGCTAAAATGACAACAATTTTGCAGTGGTTTTAGTTTTATTTTTGTTTTATAGAAGGTACTTTCCTTTCCTATTCAAAATTAATTGGCTATGTTTGAGGATATTGTCAGGCTTCCCAAGAGTTCTGTCCATAGCACCTATTTAGGCCCAGCATGATCCATGTCTTCTGAGAGAAATTATAGATCTCATTCTGGACTAAGTGAAGGCTCCTGGAAGAAAAGAAATTGATTCCCTTGGGATTAATTACCAGAACAAAGTTGTCCCTCTGCACCCCACAGGGAATGAAAATAAATATTTGACCAAGTTTCTTCAGTCCAATTCCAGTTTCATAATTCTCCTCAGAGCAACATGTTGCCATTCTCAGATCTGCTTCTTCATGAATAGGCATCTCATGGTCTTATGCTATCATAATGCTACCTCCAGTTGTAGTGATTAAACCAAATATCTGGCTGATAATGAGAGCAATTTTAACCCTTTGACCCCATTTGCTATCAACTACCAAAACTGAATAGGGGTTGAACTTAGGAAGATCTTCACAGTAGAAGCATAGAGGCAAATATGGTTGAAACTGGAATTGCTTTCTTTATAGTGTACGTAAGAACCTGACAATAAAATGTCAGATTTTAATTTTATCTAATATCATTCAAGATTTTAAAAGTATTGTGTTTCTGTTTGAAATCAGTACTTTTAGTTTAGCAATTGGAATTGGACAGGTAGTTAACTAAAACTATCTCAAGTCATTTTTTCTTTCTACAGCCTGTGGTGAAACTCTTCAAGAGTCAAGTGGTAATTTCTCATCCCCAGGATTTCCTAATGGATACCCTTCATACACGCATTGTGTTTGGAGAATCTCAGTTACACCTGGTGAAAAGGTAATGTATTTTGGAATAGTCTCTGGTAATCTATCTCTACAGTATTAACATAGGTGCTGTCTACCCTACTTTATATTAAAACCTTCACTTGGAAATCACTTAATCAACTTAATGACAAGATTATTAAGTTGGAAGATTTACTGTAATAGTGACTGTTCTGCTACATGATGCAAACAGATATTGTTGTATTTGTAATCTCAAGCATGTATACACTTTGTGGACCATTACTTTTAATTATTAATACCCATAATATACAATATTGTTTCATGTATAATGCAAGAAATATCTCCTCACTATGGAAATTTTCACAAAAGAAGCAATTAACTGTTTAATCCACTTATATAGGACCTTATATCGGCGCAACATCGAGGGCCGAAGGGCCTGTACTGCGCTGTAATGTTCTATGTTCTATGTTCTGTGGCATTGTGAAATGTCTCATGACAGTTAACGGGATTGATACATTTGCCTGCAGTTTTATGATGCTTTCATTGGCAAACATATAATAGTTGCTGCCTTGTGGTAATCTTAAAACATTTCATATTATATGATGTCAGAGCTTTCATCCTTTTGTGTTATTGTGTACCAGTCATGACAGCAAATTATGAAAAAAATCAGCTTTTAATTTGTCAAATATTGTGTATTCATTGGTTACTTAAGGGCCCCAATTGAGCCCCTAACTTGGCATTGTATATCCACCAAAAAATCATGGAGCTCAGGATAGATGGTTGGTCAGAAAGTATCCACGTAAATTGATAACCTTTCCTCTCCTATCTGCAAACTGGCCTAGAGGACAAATTGATTGAAGAATGGGTTGCAAGTGGTATGCGTTGAGCTTTGTATAGATATAATTCTGATAGGGGGTCTTGTGGCATTGTGGTACTGTCCCTACCTCTGAGTCAAGACGCCTGGGATCAAGACCCATCTGCTCCAGAGGTGTGTGATAACATGTCTGGATGGGTTGATTAAAGAAATATATTCAACAGCATAATGGTCCTAGCATTCATGCCACTGCTTGGTATGCTGTGCCTAATTTTTTAGGTGCAGCAGATAATCACCTAAAGCAACCATTAGGACCCTTGCACATGTAACTTTGTCTTGCAGCAGGTGATATGCTTTGAGCTCTGGAACATTTGTTTATGCTGCATGGAACAAGTTTGGGGATGTCGTGCTCTAAATTTTTCAGCGCTACTGCTGTCATCAAATAAGCTAAGCTTTTATAAAAGTAAATGTTCAGCATTCTTCTTATGGAATCAGGATCTGGATTTCTTTCCTGACTGCGGAGTCATTATGATTGGGATCTCAGAACCAATTACTCCATCTCATTTCTGCTTCTTGAATCCTCCTTCTGGAATCCACCATTGCCACAAAGGCAAGCAACGTGACATTCTGCATTTTAAATGTGCTAATTCCAGTGGAGGCATAGACCTGAAACTGTGCACAAATAATTTTTTCCCCAGTGGCTTTTGTTCAGTCAAGCGCACAAATTAATCAGTTTAAATCATGGGACTTGTTTGTACAAGGTGTAATGTTTATCTTATCAAGATATTTAATGATTAGAAAAATATGACCTGTGGTATGAGCACTTGCTGAAAGACTTGCTACGTTGAGGTTGAGTTGGTATGTAACCAATATATAAATAATGTGCTAGTTGCAGGCTAAGCGCTTTCTGACCTTGCACTTCTTTTAGTTTTGTTCTGAAAAACAGAAATTGCAATGTACAAACCAACCCTAATGACTTATAGAGATAGTTTTGCTTTGTACTTGAATTGTGTGTCCAGGCATTTTGAAGCAGCTATATTTAGTTTATTGTCTGAATCGGCAGAGAAATTGCGATTAAATCAACTAGAAATACATTAGTGGTATAAATGTTCCCCTTTATTGACCTTTTTATGCTGCGGCGTAGATTTTTCAAGCACACATATATTGAGGGGGCTCCCTCAGTTCAAATGAAATCCTTTTTAAGTGGACTATTGCAAGTGCTCATGTTTAGACTTAAGGCCTCTGTAGAGAAACAACAAAAGATTGAGAAATCTCAATGGTATTACATCATTCTATTTTTTGGGACTTCTTATTGTTTAACTGCTATTATGTTAGCACTTGGCAGGTGTAGGATCGGATTTTCGTGGAAGAGGTGGGAAGGTTGAATTGAACAACATCCTAATAATGAATGGCGTAATAATGAATGTCAAGTCTTCAAATACTCCCCCTCCTCCCATTTCATATGACATTCTTGAACCTCATAACACCATACTTCCTCATATGTTTCGTTGTTTTCAATCGCCACTTTCTACTATGACAAACCTCAGATGTCTTTCAAATGGACATTCTCATTTAGACAGTCTTCATGCTGGAAAAAAACAAACAAGCTCATTCATAGAGACTATTCGAAAAAAGGAATACCCTGAGGTGGTAATGCTGTTGTAAAAACAAACACTTATTCATATTCCACATCAAAGACAGATAATCCTTTTAATAATCACTTCAATTATCAATCATAATAATATCACAGCCCTTGCTAAGCTAAGTGATTTTTGGTAGCTTTTGAAATTCAGCCAAACATTCATAAGCAGATACTGGAAAATGTAAAAATAAAATAGAATCTGAAAGGGAAACTGATAAACCAGCCTTTTTTTTTTCCTAAACTATACCAGGTTTTCTAACAATCAAACCAGCTTTTCTTTAAAATAAAATATTCTGAGCATTTAAGTTACTTATCATGACATGAGTTCCCAAGCACACTTCTCTTCAGTTTTGAATATGCCCTACTGATTTCCCTTTTTCTTTTCTCTACTTGGAAATGACTGTAATCATTTCCAATACATGCACAATTCTAATCAATACAATGGTCAACTTACCCTTTTCAGGAAGAGCCCTGTAATCAGTCACTGCAGTTAAAAACTCCTTTAACTTGCAATACTGCATATACCTATTGATTTTTATGTATATCTCTTTACCCCTTTTTAAATCATACTAAGGGTCTTAATAGAATTCTCAATAAATACAAAACCTTTAAACAATGAAGTGCAGTAATTTGAGATTACAAACTGTATTGAAATATTTATCACAGAAGAAAAGAAAGATTAAAGAGAGTTACATGTTTATAGGCTAAAAGTAACCCTTTTTGTGGACCATTAGGGAACAAAGACTTTTTTCTCAGTGTTGATACATTATTTACAGAATGACGATACATACTGAAAGAATTATAGTTTAGTTTTTAACGGTAGATCATACATGTTGTCTGACTGCTTTAAGACCAAAATTCTATCTGGGAGGCTATGAGCTTAACTTTTGATTAGGACTGTGTTGTAAAACATTTCATTTCTGTTAACTCAGTTCATCAGTGGTGGGTAGGCCCTCTACTGCAAGGGGAGACTTCCAGGTGAAATCTGGAAACCTCCCAGTGAACTGTGAAGGATGTTGAGTCCTCCCACTTGGTCCACAAGAGTTCCCTGGCTTGTCCGTGCAGTAGTGGCAGCGCCTGTTCTTGTCACTTTCTTTTCCTGACTCGCCCGGGTGTCCCAGATTCCATTTACCTGGTTGAGAAGACAGCATCCTACCATGGTGTTCTATTCTTCGAAGTGCAGTCCTATCTGTAGCCACTGCTCCCCAGCTGAACTGCTAAGACTGTTGAATTGCCAGCATTTAGTTCAACTATCACTCCCTGGAGCGAGAACCATTGTTCTTTACAGAAATGACAATTAGTTATTTGCCTGAGCCCTGTAAAATGTGCTGTGGGATCCCCAGATGTCTGAGGTGGGTTGCTTCCAGCTTTCCAGACTGTTGCTTGGAATGCATAAAATAAAATTCAGCCCACACTACACACAGACTGATTTTCTGCCAAATAATTTGCACCTGTTTACACGAAAGTTCCTGGAACTGGTATAGATACTAGTTTGAGTGGATCAGAAAGACATATCAGATACTGTAAGAAAAATTGATTGCTTAACAGGGCTACAACTTGAAATTGTTTTATCAACATGCTGAAAGTAAATAAGAATATATCAAAGAGGTGTCTTAAATTTAGTAAAGCAATAGGGTAAGGATCATTGATTAAAGTTTCTAGACCAAGATCTGATTTAAATTTTTGGCCTCTCTTGCCCTCGTTGGGTAAGTTTGTTTTAGTGACAAGTTGCTGCTTTTGTTGCTGCTTATCTGTTAGGTATCATTGAGGGAAAAACCAAGCTGATGTCAGAGAAGCACATACCTCATGGGCCAGTTACAAACGAAAGCCCTGTTATTGATGTCCACTACAGTGACCACTCGTTCTTCCAACTGAAAAATAAAGTTATGACACCAAGAGCTCCATATCAGTGTTGGCGTGGAGAACAATCTGATTTGTTGTACACGTTGTTTTACATTTTCACATCACCTTATTTGACAAACATTGCCAGTGTTGTAAGCTCAGCCCTTTATTAATGAAAGTTTGTAAAGACAAGAAATATGAAAATACTATACATACTGATTTCAAGATGGAACCAACCTTGGATTAGGATGGTAAATGTTAAACTGATTCACATGGATACCTCCTGTAATTTTCTTCTCCTGCAACCTTCCCCAAATGATCTACCTTTGAATAACTTAAAGACTTCTCATGCAGTTAACAATGATATGGATACCCTCCACTGCCATCTGACAGTAGGGTTCCCCTTGGACTGCATCTACGTTCTATCTCTAGAGTTGATTGTCTTTCAGATTGATAATCAGTCCTCCCCTTTCTTCTTTGTGTTAGCCTCCAACAAGTTTAGCTTAATTAGGATAGTGAAGCAGAAATTTTCAGTGTTCTGAGAACTGCTCAAATTTTTTTGTTTTTCAGATGAATGTTGTGAAGAAGAAAATAAATGGCCTGAAACAGAATGGGGTGGATTGTTAACTTGCCACCTGGACATAAGATTAATTGTCTGTTTTAGGCACTGCACAATTTTTAATACCATTGATCTCTCTTTTTCTACAACTGATCCACAATGCTAGTTTAATGCTTGCGCAGCATGTTCAAAATCCGGTCCAACGTTTGCTTTTGTTGAAAAATTGTCACTTTTGATTAAATGCTGCTTTGAAGGCAAAGACATTAATTCTTGCTGTTTGGAAAGCCTTCAAGATATGCATCTGGCAAGATTTTACATTATCCTATACAAACTCAAGAGAACATCGTAAACTTTTTGTTATGTTTGCGGTGACCTTTTGAGGATAAAATAAATCATGCTATAATTCACTGCAACTTTCTAAAATAACGGTCTGATGTTTAGCCCTGATAATTAATAGAGTTTTCTATGTAAATACACTGGATTTTAGTCAAGTCAGGTGATTGCAGAAGAAAGTGCAAAATTGCCATTTTGATAAGTTGAAGGTACGATTAAAGTAAGAATGGAAATTACAGAGATGTTGGCAATAATTTTCAGCCTTCCTTAGAATTGGGATGGTGCTGGAGGACTGGAGAATTGTGTATACAAAAAATGGTATAAGAATAAGACAAGCAAGTACACTCCACTTAGTTTAACTTTGATTTGGGACATCTTAGAAACAATAATTTGGAACTGATTTAATCCTCACATAGACAAATGTGTAGTTATTTAAGGAGAGCCAGGATAGATTTTTTTTAAGGAAGAATTATGTCTAACTAACATTCTTCAAAAACACTCCAGAAACATCAGTGTGTTGATCATGGCAATGTTTTTGATGTAGTGTACATAGACTTCCTAAGGACTTTTGATACAATGTAAACAAATTTAGACCTGAAGGGGTGAAAGGGACAATAGTAACATGGTTGTGGAATGTACTGAAATGTAATGAGTATTGTGTAGGACTTCAAAAGTACATTGGTTGGTGGAGTGAACAAATAGGTGATAGATGAAGTTCTATATGGAGAAGTGAAAGGTAATACATTTTTGGTGCGAAGAACATGGGAAGGCAATATAAATTGAATTGTACAACTTTAAAGAGGGTACAGAATCAAAGGGATCTGGGTGTAAATTGTTTTGGAGATAGTAAGAACTGCAGATGCTGGAGAATCTGAGATAACAAGGTGTAGAGCTGGATGACCACAGCAGGCCAAGCAGCATCAGAGGAGCAGGAAGCCTGACGTTTCGGGTCTAGACCC